TTATATATACTTGCGAATATATACATATATATATATATATATATGTGTGTGTGTGTGTGTGTGTGTGTGTGTGTGTGTTGAGTTATAAGGGCAAGATTGAACAATGTAGTAGTAAAGGGGTCGAACCCCACAAAAGGATATAACATGGAAAGAGATTGATGAGATTTTCATGAGATCGAGGATATTGTTTTCATGCTTCATAAATATTATTGCTACACAAATAATTAAAAGAAAAAAAAAAAAAATATATATATATATATATATATATATATATATATATATATATATATATATATATATATATATGAATTAAAGTATATGTTAGAATTATTTCGTGCAAATTAATTATAAATTTGTGTCCGATAAATCCCAGATTCAGTTTTAGCTACTGTTCTACTGTTTTACGAAGAGTTGCAACAGTTAATGGAACAGTAATAAAAAGACACAAATTTTAAAGTGGTTCGGATACAATTGTACCCTACATCCACGGGGACCTGCAAATGAAATTCACTAATTTTTAGTTTTACGAATACAGTAATAGGACTTAATCGAAAATGCAAAGACTCCCTCTTTGTCGACGCCGTTCTTGTATCCTACGCTGAATTGTCAATCTTCACTTTGCAGCACGTCCCTTTCCGCACGGTTGAAATTTCTTCAACGCTGAGTCCCTCAGTCGGCGGATCGACCTCCTCCCGAGATCTTCTGAGTTCTTCTCCCGAAGAACCGATCTTCTTTTCGCGTGAAAGAAGCAAATCGTTTGCTGTGTTTTTCTTCTCGAATAAGATCACAACTCAGGTGCAGCAACGCAAGAGCAGAAAAAGTTTTTCTCTCAAATAAAAGGGACAGTCTGTAATGACGTTGATGCTCCCTTCTTATAATTCCTTAGTTGTATTGGTAGAGCCCTACAAAATTAGAGCCCATTAGGTTAGATAAATTCTTCACGTAAGGAACAAGGAATTATGACAACAAGGAAAGTCTTAGTCAAATAACTTCCTTGTTAATAAAACACTAAGGTAATTAAATAAATTAATGACAAAATAAGAGTTTAAAGAACTAAGGAAACTTCCCTAGTTTTTATACACGTTTTTCGCACACGTGTTGAAAAACCGAAATAGAATCCTCTCGGATTCTAACAATCTCCCCCTTTGTCATCTATTTATTATAATCAAGTCCTCCCCCTTGATCAAATACCTGACAAAACATTAGACTGCATAATAGAGTAACTGTTAGAACAGTTAAAGGAAAAAGCAGTTAACGAAACAAGAAAAAAATTAAGCCTAGCAGACTATTAGAGGCCGTTGTTCAGAAAATCAATTCGACAACCACAAAAAAAACTACTCCAGAATATATTCAGCATCAACGAACAACTCCTCGACATCATTCGTATCAACTTCAGCTGATGTACCATCAACTGTTGGAACAGTTGGAGCAACAACAGTTCAGTAGTAGTTCCAGCAGATGCATCAGCTCCCCCTGTATGCAGTTCCTCCTGGGTTGATGCGTCGTTGTCAACTCCCCCTCAAGAATAATCTCCCCCTTTATGAGCAAGGGCTGTAAAATAGTCGAGTTTCTTCTTGGTAAAAAAAAAACGACCTCGACAATCAGAGACCCCACTAGGTAGGTTGGCATAAAAATTATGAACCACTTGACAGACGCCACCGGGTTTGATGCTCTCGGAGAAGGAACCGAGAATTAAAAGCATCGACAGCAGAGATAGGCACCACGGGATCCGGTGCAGAGTGACCTGCGGTGGTGCGAGTAGCGGAAGGCGAGGCAGAGTGAGTAACGCGTCGACGAGAGCGGCGAGGTGGCGGGGTGCAGGTGAGGCCGGTTTGGGTGGTTGCGATGGCGGTGCACACGGAGGCGGCCGTGAGAAGGAGTGGGGGCTCCCAAAAGGCAAGAGGCACGGCATCCAACGGCTCTTCGAAGGCAGGGCGGTCATCGGAGCGGCGTCGCGGCGGAGGAGCTGCCGAAGACGCGGTTGCTGGTCGAGATGATCGTCGTTTGGACGAAGAAGACGATCCACCGGTGCTTTTTCGTTTCCCCATAACTGTGCTCTTGGATTCCTTTGATTTGAGTGCAGATTTGAGATTTGCTGCAAAGGAGAAAGAAGGAAAAGAGAGCAGTAGAGAAGAAAACCAATTTGGAGAAAAAAAAACGAAAAGGGGCATAAACATAGGTAACTGTTGGTCTTCTCAGGGGTATTTTAGCAATTTAGGAAGATTATAGTGAAGAAATTGCAAGTATTATTCTGCCAATAAGGAGAGCAATTTTATAAAAATTAAATTCAGGTACAGCAACTCTCAACCTTCACATATGAAGCCCAATCACAGTTCAAGAAAACTTCGAGAAGAAAAAAATGTTCAGAAAAGTGGGTGACTTCAAAAAAATGATTGCCGCCAAAACATATACGAACCCACCCCTTTTTTTTTTTTTTTTTTTTTTTTTATATATATATATATATATATATGCCTAATATGCAGAATTAAATTACTAGGACGAGAAAAATAAACGTGAGAAAACGAAAGAGAGTATGAGTGAGTAAACACGAGTGAATAGGATACTATTAGGACTATCAAACCCATGGGGTTTATCTTCAATTTTAACAAAAAAGCAAGCTCCGAAATACAAACTAACAAGACTAACAATAAATTTAATACTCTCAAATCAAGCACAAAAACGCTCTTATTAGGTAGCATACACAC